TTACATTTCATACATTCAACCTGAAAAGAAAATGCTCCTCAATTCCATCTAGTGGCCAAAATGCAGTATTACATTACAGACAATAAAAGTAATGAGGTCCAGCACACCCAGGTCCACATTATTGATCCGTCTTTTACTGACCTTAGATCAACAACATAAGAAATCACAATGTTTCAGAACCACTGCAGTACCTTCAGCAGGCAAAACAATGTGACACATCCCTGTTTCCTCTGTGGGCTGCACGTGACCCTGACATGTCCACCACTCTTGACACTTTTGTATGTTTGCTGTGACTTGCTGCCTATCATGTTTACACATTATATCAGTCCATGAAGACGATGATAAGTGATTACTTATCTAATACTCAAGTTTACATTAAGGATTTATTCCAGTCAGGATGTGTTTCTTTTATGTGTGGGGATTTTTTTATACGGTCGGAGTTGGAGTATATATATAAATACTGTATGTAGGTTTATGTGTCTCACCTGAGTATTTATTGTGTTTGGTTAATATAAATACACAGGGGGGAATTTATCAAAACTGGTGCAGAAGAATCTGGAGCAGTTGCCTATGGCAACCAATCAGCTTCTCTCTTCAGTTTGTTCAGTTAAGCTTTGAAGATGAAAGGTGGATGCTGATTGGTTACCATGCACAGCTGCTCCAGATTTTTTCTGGTCCAGTTTTGATAAATTCCCTCATACATTTTTCATAAGATAATAGTTTTTGTGATGATTGCAATTTCCTCCTGACTTTTAATGTAATACTGAGAGTTGGCCACTAGATGGAGTGAATGACCATAGGAAATAAATACCTATTTCCTATGTTCCTCAGTGCCTTCTAGTGGCCAAAATTCAGCATTACATTACATACATGCAACCTGAAATGAAAACAATAGCACATTACACCTGAAAAGAAAATATATCTAAAAATGTTCGTTTTTTTGTGTCTATTCATACAGAGTGAACGTTCCGAAAAAATTTTTGGGGCGAATTGTTTATAATAGACCCCATAGAGTCATATACAGAATTTTTTTATTAACCACCTCACATCCGCCGAATGCTCCGAAGTGGCCGGACGGGAGCCTTCTGGATGAGGGTGGGCATCTTTAAACATACTACATGCCCACTGGTGTGCACACGCAGGAAAATGCCAAAATTAGAAACAGCCAGCGATGGCTGTTTACATACAAGCGGTCCAGCATCTGTAAAAGTGCCTAAGCGCTTGTATGATACACCTCTCTGTGCTGCACCCCCCTCCCTACCTCTCTTCGCCATTGCCGGCGTCCGATCCAGGACCGGCAGTGTGGCTCCATGTGGCTCTCTGCACAGAGAACGGAGGGAGATCAGCTCTCCTCCCCAGTCTCTGAATGCAGGAAGTGATGTTTACTACATCACTTCCGCATTCATCTGTCACTCTCCGGCTACAGAAACTGGTGAAGCAGATCTGTGCTTAATCAGCTTCTTTGGGGGTCCCTAGGTGACATTAGGGGTCTTAGAGACCCCTGATGTCTCCATAAAGTGGACCTGTCACTGTAATGTGATATCACATAGGGGGATTCTTAGCCCCCCTATGTGATAACAATAACGTTAAGTGTTTTTTTTTAAATGGTCACAAAATAAATACAATTTACAAACACAAAAAAACACAAATTTTTAAAACTCCCCCCACGTCGCAAAAATGACGATTGCACCAATTATGCAGCACTTGTTACATATCATCGCAAACGTCGCAGTGAGAGCAATAATTGTAGGGCCATCAATCACTGATAACACTAAACTGATGAGCGATAAAATCTTTTAAAGCGTCGCCCATGGCCAATTTTGGTTCTGGTAATTTTTTGCGAATTCGTGGGTATTTACCCAACATGACCCCGTTTTTTATATTTTACCCAACAATTGGGTAATAATAAATGTTTCCTAACATAATAAAGGGAAAACTGTTTTTTTTATTTTCAGTACTTTTTTCGTTATATAGTAAAAAATAAAAACCGCAGTGGTGATTAAATACCACCAAAATCCCCAAAAAATGGTATAAAATAAATTTCAGTACAACGTTCAATGATGGAATAAATGTCAGTCAAAGTACCGCAGCGCTGAATACTGAAAAATGGCCTGGGCAGGAAGGGGGTTTACCATCCCAGTCAGCAAGTGGTTAAAGTAGTATTAAACTCTCAGACTTTTTTTCAATAATGAATCCAGACCAAGCAAATATACATTGCCCAGCAAAGGTATTTCTGTACATTTTTCCACTTGTCGTTAAATCTAGCCCTTACGACGGTGGCGGAACGGAGCCTTCGCTGGTCCCATCATAAATTTTACTCCCATGGGGATAAAGCCAGCCAACTGTTAGCTGTCAAATTATCTCCCAAATTGCGTAACTACTCTATTCCTAAAATAAGATGTGCGACTGGGACATACTCACATAACCCCAAAGTGGTAGTCCAGGAATTCGAATCTTTCTATACTCGATTGTATGCTAACACCCATGCGCTCCCTAAGCCGCTAATACAGCAATTTTTAAGAACTGTGGCACTCCCTAATCTAAATCCCGAACATATAGCCTCTCTGGAAGAACCAGTTACACAATCTGAAATTAAACAAGCTATTAAACAGACAAGAGTATCTTCTGCCCCTGGTCCACATGGTTTCTCAGCTGGCTACTATAAAAAATTCGAAGAGACACTACTACCCCATTTCGAATCTTTGTTTGCAGCTATTGGTAAAGGGGAACCTCTGAATCCGCAAATGAATGAGGCGTTTTTAAGCTTAATCCCTAAACCCTAATAAGGACCCAGGAGAAGTAGCTAACTATAGACCTATATGCTTGATTAATAACGACATGAAATTGCTCACGAAAGTTTTAGCTAACAGAATTAATGTGTTCTTGGCCACTTATATCCATAAAGATCAAGTGGGGTTCATTAGAGGGAGACAGGGGCCGGATCAAACCCGCAGAGCAATCGGTATAATATCGTTGCTAAAGGCGGGATGGGGTGGAACCCCAGAGGCCACGGGCTTGTTGCTATCTATTGATTTACAAAAAGCCTTTGACTCAATATCTTGGCCTTATCTCTTCACGTTATTGGAAGAGTGGGGGTTTGGTGTAGGGTTTAGGCGTTTGCTTCGGAATCTATACACCTTGCCCTCAGCAACTATCAAGATGCAGGGATTTAAGTCGGATCCAATCCAGATTTGCAAGGGCACTAGACAGGGTTGTCCACTTTCCCCCATTAAAGGAGTCCACTGTGGAGGAGGGGAACATAAATGTGCCCTTTTTGCAGACGATTTATTGGTGTTTCTTACACAGCTGTTGATCACCCTGCCTAGTGTAATGTCATCACTGGATGGATTTGCGAAGATATCTGGGCTACATATAAATACAGCTAAGTCCCTGGTCTTGAATATAAATCTTCCCCCTGAGCAAGTAGACATGCTAAAAGCCGATTTTCCTTTCTCATGGTTGCTATCGTCGCTACCTTACTTAGGGATTAATCTTACTCCCTCATTCGACCTCTTGTATCAGTCGAATTTCCCTCCTATGTTTAAAAAATTGAAGGGGGACCTGGAAAGGTGGTCCCTGTGTAACCTTTCCTGGTTAGGGAGAATAAACGCTATAAAAATGACCTTACTACCTTGTCTGTTATATCTATTTAGGGTCCTCCCCATTCCTGTTTCTAGATCCGAATTAGCCGCATTTCAGTCAAGCTTAGTGAAATTTATATGGGGAGGTAAAGGTCATCGTCTACCTAGGACTACGCTTTATAGCACTAGAGAGTCAGGGGGGCTAGGAGTCCCAAATATACATAAATATTACCAGGCTGCACGCATGGCCCAATTGTCTGCTATATATTCAGCGGAGGAACTCCCTGATTGGAACCTTATAGCTTCACTACTCTTGCATAATGAGTGCTTAGTGAGGCCCTTGGTTTTTGTGTTAAAGATGCCTGTTAGGGATTTCATGGCAGTAAATGTTTTTATATTAATATTAACGGTTACTGACTGGCTTGCCAATAAAAATACTGTTATTAATGTGTGCTTAAAGTAAACCCGGGTGAAAAATAGTGATTCAAGATTGGATCTTCACTGAGGGACCAATAAGGAAGTTTCTATGAGGAGGTTTTAAGAAACCGTATGTATATAACATGATAAGGCTAGTAACCTATACTTTTGCAGGGTGGGATGTAGAATAAGAAACCTGCCAGGCACGAATTGCAATGTCTGTGTTTATTAACCTCCTTGGCGGTATTCCCGAGTCTGGCTCGGGGTTAATTTTCCATACCAGGAGCGGTAACCCCGAGCCAGACTCGGGAATGCACAGAAAAGTGACACTTACCTTGTCCCTGCGAGCCCGCGGCGTCCTCTGCTGTACGCGGCCCGAAAACGAAACTAAAAGTCAGATGCCGGCATCTGACTTTTAGTTTTGTTTTCGGGCATCACAGCCGGCGGGAAATTCAAAAGTGAAAAGTTGCAATATACACAGAATACACACAATACAATGTAATCTGCTATTACACTTATGTATCAAACTATTTCACTTCAATTTTGTCCCTAGAGCTTTGTCCAGTGCCCTGCCTGACACTTTAAGAGCCCCAAAACCAAATCAAAACAACAAAGAGCTGAAAGGAACAAAAAAGCAAAAATCCTAGCACCGGCCCTGCACTCACTCCACACTTCATTACAAGGGGCAGTGGCGTAACAACCGGGGGTGCGGGGGGGTCACTTGATCTATAACTCTGGTTACGCCACTGACAAGGGGTCCAGTTTAGTTTTTTCTGATCCCTTTACAAGTGAACAGCTCAATCTACCTGAATTGTAGCAGATAATCTCTATAGTGATGAGCTGCTTTATTATCCCATTTCACTAGAACTGAGCTGCCAGCATTCGTACCATGTGCGTAGCCCCGGGGTATTCACGTACACAGCGCAGTACGGCCGTGTGACGTCACGTATTGTAGCAACCTGCCATGGAGACGGCGGAGTCCACACTAACCGAACCGGCGCTATAAAAGAATGCGGAGCTCGGCGCGCCACGCACATTCCCCTACAGCACCATCGCCATGGGATGCCAGAGCTCCAGAGTGCGAGTGGTTCAGACCACGGACGGGAGGAAGAAAGGCTGGGGAGAGAAAGGCAAGCCGGCAGCCCAGGTCAGGAGATGCGCTGTGCACTATACTGATACCGATCCGTACTGCTACCCCGCAGTTATCATAGCTAAGGCATGCAGAATGCCATCACTCCGAGTATGGTGCCGAGACCACGTGACCTGTATCTTTCTGGAGCTTCAGATAGAAGCTCGTTCTATAGATGATAAGTGATCACATTTATTCCCAATAAACAATCATTGCAATACAAAGTTATTCCAGTGATCTGTAAAGTGCTGTAATAAATACACCCGTACGCTATACGTGGGTTTACGCAAGTACTAGCGCATGCCCGTGAACAGCTGGAGCACCTGGAAAAAGCCCATGTCCTAATAGAGTATTTCTAGAGATAATCTGAAATCAATCAAGATAATAGTATTGGATATTTAGAAATGAATGTAGTACCACACCCCAATGAAAATTGAGTACTGTCATAAAAAGCAATTATGGAGCTTTTCTGGTACCATTAAAATAAACTTGTAATAAGCTCATAAAAAACTATTTATTAAAGAGATTGTTAAAAAAGACAGTCCGTAAAATAAGTAAGTAGTAGATAAACGTTGTTTGGCTCCACATTGGCTGAAGTACTATATTTTAATGTTTACATCCTACAATTAAATGTAGACAAATAGTCAATATTAGAGCTGCAGCTAACGATTATTTTCAAAATCGATTAGTTAGCCGATTATTAAGTTCGATTAATCGGATAAACTATAAAATAAAGTTGAAAAAATGGCTCCATTGATAGGACTACTAGTTTGTATTGAGGTTGTAGTCCATCACAGGAGCAAGCTTGGACCGGTGGAAGTAAAAAAGAAAAAAAAGATAGTGTGGTGTGCAATATAGTGAAATGGAAAGTGTAAAATTATACAGCAATGCATGCAGAATGGCAACGGCTATAGAGGACTACAAACCCCAGCAAAAGCACATTATACAGCACAATGCAGAATACCGCCAGCTAAAGAGGGATACAACAAATCCCAGCAATAGTACATTATAGCTGGCGGCATTCTGCATTGCGCTGTATAATGTACTATTGCTGGGTTTTGTAGTCCTCTATAGCTGGTGGTATTTAGCATTGTACCACTTTATAATGTACTATTGCTGGGATTTGTTGTACTCCTCTATAGCTGGTGGTATTCTGCATTGCGCTGTATAATGTATTATTGCTGGGACTTGCAGTCCTCTATACAGCGCAATGTAGAATATCACCAGCTATAGAGGAGTACAACAAAATCCCAGCAAGGATAATAAGGCTAATGAGGGACCATTTGTTGTCACAAGAACAAGGCGAGTATAGATGTATGGCAGAGACAAATTATTATGGAATTCAGTCTGTCCAATCCAGGGCCACTAGGATTTTCTTTAGGGGTCAGCTCTATTGACAACAGCTAGAGAGAACCTCAAAAGTTAGGAGCCAGCTGTCATTTTTAAGGTGCATTGGCTAGTTTGCTTCCGAGATTTGTCCAGGTGTAGAGGGGCAGCAGAGGTGTGGAATTCCTATCTGCCGACGCCCGGGAAATGCAGTTCCAGGTGCCCGGCGGGTAGTTGTTTTCTTCATTTAGCCCTCATTTGGGCAAGCAGAGCTAAATGTAGCGGGGAAGCTGCCGGTTGTTCTGTACAAGTGATCTCGGCGATATCGATGATATATTCCATAGATCTTAATTCTTCATTACTCCCAGTAGTGTGTAAAATAAACGGCTTCAAAGGCTGGAAAAGATTTCAGAGCATTGTATAGTCTTTTCTTTTTATAGCTATGTCAAACTTTCACAGGAGGGTTCTAATATTTTACATTTTAGGTAATACAAATTGTTGTGCTTTATATGGATATATTATTATTAATATACAGATATATACACACACACACACACACACACATATATCTTTACACACACACACAAACACATAGGTGGGCCTGGATGGACCTTGATCTTTATTTAACCTCACCTACTATGTTACTAATATCAAACAGATTCATTATTTTGGATATACAACTAAAAACATATATACAGCTAAATAAAACAAAGATATTTTCTACAATATATAAATACAAAAACTAATGGAAGCTGTTTTGGATATTTTTTGGCTTTTCCACAGAGGGCAGGTTTATTTTTCCAGAACTATAACAAGGTTTGAACTGGGAATTGTAACTACCAGAGGATCTTCTAATAGGTCCCAAGCTTGAAATAGCATGTAGTAAAGCACAGTAGTTCTGGAGCCCGGTGTGACATTGGTGCTTGGCTTCTATTTGCCTAACATGTAGAGAATGCAGGAAAGTTTGCCTTGTAGTCATGTTAACAGAGAACTATAGCCAAACCTTTTTGGGGGGGTTTTCTTTCTCTTTTGGGTGACATGAATACATTTACAAATATACTTCTATGACTCTAAGTCAGCGGTTCTCAACCTGTGGGTCGGGACCCCTTCGGGGGTCGAATGACAATTTGCCAGGGGTCGCCGGAGTCTCCCACTATTAGATAGCTATTAGATTATCATCATTATTATTAATAATAAAAGCTGACACCCTCGGCTTGTGTTATATGGTTTGCCATGTTAGCTGTTACAACAGTGGTTCTCAACCTGTGGGTCGCTGTGGGATTTCTGCTGTGCTAGGTGAGTCCTCCTCAGCCCTCTCCTAGCGCAGCAGTGTCAGTTCTCCCGCCACGCCGCCATATGTCGCTGCAGCAGCCGCGTCAACCCTAAATTTTACCGTTGGGGGTCACAACAACTTGGCAAATGTTACCAAGGGGTCCCGGCCCTAGGAAGGTTGAGAACCACTGCTCTAAGTGAACAGAAGGCGGACTAATGCCCACTATATGCTGCTGACAGCCCAGCTGGGAAGGACCCTGACAATATTGTATGGATCCGCCCGGCTGCCTTGATTGACAACTGGCTCGGCCTCTCTAGAGCCAGAGCCAATTGTGCCCACCCCCTCCCTTTCTGTCCCTCCAATGACCACTGAAGGAACAGAGAGGGGAGGGGGTATTTCCTGTGGGAGGCAGTAACTGACAGTCACCACTCTCTTCGGCAGAATAAGAATAAGGTTTTATTTTATATTGCGGAGGGGAAGGGGGAAGTTGCAAATAGGAAATGTCAACTATGGGAGCGAAGGTCTGCTTTAAGTCATTTATAGCCTTGGAGTTGACTCTGAAGGCTCAGCTTAGTATAGGCTGAAAAATATGTGTAATTTGCCAAAATGATTGTAATTTTTTGCTACGTGACTTTTTTCCCCCTTGTGTTTGGACCTAATTACTAACCATTATGGTTGTTGTGACATATAATGATTTATTTTTATTTTTTTAAATCTTTTTATTCATTTTGCATAGTAAACAATTACATTACAGTAACATTCGGGCACCAACATAGCACCCCATTCATACACAACAGTGTATACATTACGGCATAACGTATGCCAACAACCGTAAAGGACCATGCAAGGTCCAATAACTAACCCTCTGACCATAACCCTCCCCCTCCCCTAGGCACAGGTAAATTATTACAATATAATTACAACCAATCCCCCCCCCATCCGCTCCCTGATGTGAACCTTACAGCCAATCTCTTAAGCGCTTCCCAGAAAGATGCAGCGTACCAGATTCAGTCAAAGGCAGTTAAAGTATATATTTCGGGAGTGGCAGGATTCCCTATGCTCTCACCACAATCCCATCCTTGTACAACATTGCCTCCCCTAAAATTCCAGGAAAGCCATAACTCTCCCTCTAGGCATCCCCCTACCAGGTTTGCAACCACCATTCGGATGATCACCCGACAGTACTGGGTGAGTATTTCGGCCGGTTTCTCAGCCAGCTAAGGGTCAGGATGTAGCACGGATGTCGGGAGATGCAGTGAGACACGTCTGCTCAGTCTCACATCCCGGCCACGCCCCCCCTCATATAATGATTATTAGTGAACTGATCCTATTGTCTCTTTTAAGCAGCAGTATGCAGCTGCCTTCTGTAGTTCCAAGTGGCATTTACCAGTCTCTGCAAACACGGCAGCAGCCTCCAACCATCTCCTGTAATATGGCAACAGCCTCTAAACATTTCCAGTCTTCGGGCCAGGTTCACAACTGGGCAATCCATGACCGCGCGTGCAGTCATGCACGAAACCACAGGGATGGCTGCGCAGTCACGGAGTTGCACACCACCGCTGAGCGCACTGGCAGTGCCATTATTTTCTATCGGCACCCCAGTTGTGCCAGGCAGTTCGCACTGTTTCCTCACGCGATTCTGCCCATGCAATTGTGCATGATCGCGTTTAAAAAAAAAATATATATATATATATACACACTGTATATACACATACTAACATTTTCCTCCAATCAGTAAAAAGGCGAAACAAAGTGAGATGTGGATAAACCTATTATAAACCAATTGCTCAGACTGTTTTTTGCCTGCTGATTTTATATACAGCATTTGCCTATTTATTTGTAGGATGAACTAAAGTCTCCAAGAAACACTGGTACAAATGGCAGAGATGGATCAGCACTGTCAAAAGGAACTATGGATAGTGGCTTGGGTCCTGATGATGAGGGTGCAGGTAACCATCTACCAGGAATAGTAGAAGCAACTTCTCCAAGAAGAGCAAATGTTTTGAATAACGGTAAGTGGGCAGTGAATGGACATACCTGTAAATTACACATGAAACCTTAATAATTTCCTCCTGACCTGGACGTTTCGGAGCTTGTCCAGCGATATTGTCTCACTTCTGCTTCCCCACATTCCTGTTGGTCCATCTTTATGATGGGCTGCTTCATTGGCCAATATGAATAGGATAAGATAAAATGGGGCAGACAAGCTCTGTAACTACCAGGAATGGCTGGAGATTGACCATTCAGAACAACTGGCATTCAGCTGTGAGTGTGTGTGTGTGTGTATATATATATACAGGGCTTGAAAAATTTGACGGTGTCTCACCAGTCAGTCAAAAATGTCACCAGTCAGCATGACCTGACTATAGCCTTGCAATATATGTTAAAAATTTTTGGGGACAGATAGAGGTTTCTTTTGTGACCCCACGGGGGGTTATTATAAGACGACCCCCGATTTTCGGGGGATTTTCGCATATCAGCGATTTTCGCATATCAGCATTAGCAGGCTATACATATTTCTCAATACAGGGTTCTTTTAATGGTAATACATTAAAGCCGATCTGGTATCAGCCTCTCGCAGTCGTTGTACAGTAGGACTGGAGTGTGAGAGGAGATGCTGCTTTGTACGTGGCCGAGCGGCAGAGGATCGGTACATATGAGTAATATGTACCAGACCTCTGTGTAGGACAAACACTAGAGCGATCAGCTGATCAAACAGTGTTTGTAAATAACTGGAGACACATAGTACTATGTGTCCCCAGTTATGAATGAACAGAACATCACTTCTTGTTCATTCATGAGTTTTCCAATGGGGAGAAGCACTCTGTACAGAGGCTCCTCCCCATTCAGAAACTGCTTGGTAGTAAATAGTTTCTGAGTGAATGAGAAGCCTCTGTGCTTTCCATTCATTTAGAACAGAGGCTGCAGAAAAAGAGATTGAGGACCGTGTGTCCTCAATTTCTTTTTCTATTTTAAAAAGGAAATATCAGGGGGCTGTTTAGACCTCTAATATTTCCCGAAGCCCGCCCAAGAGTTAAAAAAAAATTTAAAATTAAATTAAAATACTTTTTTAATGTGTGTTTTTTGATGTATGTGTTTCATTACGTGTGCAATGTGTGCGTGTGTTTTTAATGTGTGTGATATCTATGTATGTGTGGTTTCTTTTTATAATAAGTGTGTGATGTGTGTTTTATTGAGTGTATAAATGTTTGAATATGTGTGTTTCCCTATTTTGCCTAAGGCAGTGATGTTGAATGTTTTTTAAAGCCCAGCGCCCAAACTGCAATACAATACTATACTTATTTTCAGCACTGGCACTTTGAGATAAATAAATTGATTTTGCGTCGCAGTTTGGGCACTCGGGTTCAAAAACGTTCGCCATCACTGATCTAGGACAACATAGCCAAATGGGAAAGTGAGGTGAATTGGATAATTTTCCCAAATCAGCTATGTTGTCCTAGATTGTTCACTTCTCCTGCCTTCTCCAAACTCTTCACCATTTAGCGAATAACCTAAATGGTAAGTTAGTTATTTCTTGCTCAAAAAGAGGATGTATTGATGAAAATATTTTTGATTCTCAACCAGTAAGATCTAAAATAGTTAAAACCTGGATAGACACGGAATGTCATAGACACAAAACATTCTGCAAGCAGCGCTTAGACCCTGATTAATTTTTTCCATGCTATTTTCTAGTGGATGCGTACACAGCTTCTGCAGTCCTTATAAAGGACCAACTGTTTTGTTTTTGACTGGTGACAGGTTCCCTTTTTACTGCAGCAGAACACAGCACAGCTCAGCTCCTAATCAAGTACCATTTAGAAGCACACATGCCCTTTACATTTTCTGTACAGTTTCTGTGACATTTCATCAAGTGAGAAACTCGACAGGGTCTTTTCAGTCTGCAGCTGCACAACATACATTTAGTATAAAAATAGAAAACTAAATGTATATAATTGATATTGCTTTCATCCTATAAACCGAGCGCCTCAGCTACAGTATATTTCTATAGTATAAAGCGTTCAGTGTAAGACTACTTAAAGCTTAACTGCAGGAACACAAAAAAATTACCCTTGCAGTGGGGCTACCCCTGCACTACAAGAATTCAAGGGTTAACTGCTCATCTATACCTATGGGACTAGGGGAGTAAAGCACTTTTACTTACCTGATCCCCGCTACCCCGGAGGTCAGCATTCACCTGTTTCACCTTCGATTCAGGTGGTGGAATGTCCCCCGGCATTCTCACGTCTAATACAAGGCTATAGAACCTGTATTCAATGTGATGACGTTTGCCAGTGTAAAGGAGAGAAGAGGCTGTGGAGATCAGTCTAGAATCCTGGAAGGAACCGGTGGGAGTGAGTGGAGATCAGGTAAGTAAAACAGAATTTTCTTGTCCCCTGGGCATAAATAGGGCAGTTTGTGGTTTGCCAAGAGATAGGCTTTAATGGAAGGAGACTGAAGCGCAAAAGGAAAAAGGAGTAGCAGATGATTGTATGATGCTGCTTTCCCTTTCACTCGGCAATATAAACAAATATTAGTTGGTTCATGTATTCAGTTTGCTTAGTGTCTAATCTTGAGGTATATTTATAAAGCAATGAATGTGACATCCACCAAACATATCTTCTAGATTTAAATTATCGAATTTGCTTCACCTGCAATGAATGGTTGATGTTTTTCACATTCACTGCTTTATAAATATGCCCATATGAATAAACAATCAGTGCGAAATGTATTGATTGAAATCCTACAGTAGGTAACTGCGTTTATTTATTAAGGCTGGAAGAAATAACAAGTGGAGGAGTAACCAGTTATTACCCGATGATGTACTACATTTTCATTCTTTAAAGTAATAGTAAACTCAGGAGTTAAATCTTAAAAATGTAATCAGGTACCTTAAAGGAGAACTATGAGATGAGTGATTTTCACTCATCCTCATAGTTCTAGCCGACCCATGACAATGAGACTGTCACAGGTCGGCTCAGTAGATCGGGAAGTGAGCGAGCACATACCGACGCTCGCTCACTTCTCGATCCTGTCACTGCAGAGAGCCGTGACAGGGGAGGGACTGGATTCCCCCTCCCCTGTCCGATCCTTCAGGCGGAACAGGTGGATACAGCTGGCTCTGCCTCTAGATAGGCAGAGCCAGCTGTCACTTATGCAGCTGGGTGGATCCAGACATAATTGTCGGGATTTGTTTCAGCTGCGGTGTGTCAGTATACCGCGAGCTGTAGCTCGCAGTATACTGAGCTTTGGGTGACGGGAGAACGCTAGTTTGTGTCCTCCCGTTACCCTTAAGAGAACTATGAGGGAAAAGCCCTAAGCCCATAGTTCTCCTTTAAATATTAACAAAAATGTATCTTATTTGTGTATCACTCAGCTGTAGATCCTCAAATGATCTCTGAATTGGTGCTGAAACTGTCCTCCCTTCTGGAGGGTGGCTACTTTTGTTCTCCATGGGCCCTGTGTGTGTGGTAAAGTAGACACCACTCCAAGCTTGCTCCCGTGATGGACTACAATCTCATGTTTAGTTAGCTCACTTGTATTGAAGTTATAGTCTTATCATAGGAGGGAGCTTGGAGTGGTGGCTACTTTACAACAGCCAGAGGGACCATGGAGAACAAAGGTAGCTCCCCTCCAGAAGGAAGAACGGTGTCATCATGAATTCATGAGATGATTTGAGGATCTACAGCCAAGAAATACACAAAAAATGTCCAGTATTGTTAATGGTTAAGTGACTGGAATGCATTTTGAAGAATTAACTCCTGCGTTTAGTGTCACATTAGGCTACATGAATAAGACAGGATGAGGCTGATAGGTTGCTACCAACAATACTTCCACCTTTCTTCCAACCTTTTTCATAAAACAACCCTACTGCATTCCATTTTGCTTCATCACCCTTTTTTTCTTCTTTTTCCTAACATGTGATAAAGAAATACAGTATATACAGTCATGTTTAATGGATTATTTAAAAAAAAAATCAACTACAACACATGACAGCAGGATTATAATGGTACAGACTCAAAGTAGTAAATATTGCTTAGCAAAAGTTTTATTCTGTTGCTAAAAGAATGTTTGGGAACTATATAATTATGAAGTCGCTTAGGAGAAAACTGGCTTGACAACCATACAAGACATTGTCCATTGTTTCTTTTATTCATGTTATAAGTTAAAAGATGTAATTAGACACAACTTGAATGCCTGTATCCTAGCAGCAAACTAACCCCTAACTTTCAATAAGTGATCTCAAACCTTTGGAGACAAAAGAGTGTTTTCAAAGTGAATGAGTGAAAAGATAATTGTATTCTTATAAGCAGATCTATAGATTGCTGTTGTCTTATCAGAGGCATCTCACTGTGCAAACGTAACTAGAACATGATGGCCTTTTGTATGTGTTACATTTTGCAGTGTTATTTAGGTTTTATCACTATATTTTCAGCTGCCTATTCATGGGATGATTTTCAGATTTATTCTAATGTAACAAATTGTTGGTAGTGTCTTCTATTCATGTACTCCTGTATGAGAAAGGTAAGTGCCCTAGAAAGATCCATAATATTTGGGAGTCTTGGAATGCCACGCTATCCATTCCACATTGGATTCCAACTATAATCAGGAAAAAAACTTCTGTGTTATTTTCTTGCTCTAAACAAAACCAGCAAATTAAGTCAAATAAGAAAAAGTAGCTGCTCGCACTAATGTGAATTATTCACTACATGACTCAGAATGATATGTATGTAGTGCAGCACTCTCTCACATCATATAACACCTATAATTATATAACTATTATATAACCAGGGCTCAAAATTTCCACTCGCCTGCTCGCATTTGGTGTGTGGAAATGCAGTGCAGGCGAGTGGAAATTCAGTCAGGCTTGCGGTAACGGACCGCGTACCTGACTCGTGGGAGCAGCTGCTCATGCTGGACTCTCCGTTCTTTCAGCCGCAGCTCTTCACTGAGCTCCGGGTATCTCCACAGTCCACAGGAATAATAGTCCAACCAAAGCACTTCAATATACGTGTCTTCCTATTTTCCAACCGCAATCTCCTCACGCTCACCACTGTGACTTTCACTCATGTGGACAGAATCTCACCATGTGTTATGGACCATATCCAATATGAGATATGCTGGTCAAAATTTGCTTAAGAACTCTGTCCTCTAAATCATTGTAATATAATTCTTCCCCAATGGTCTCAAGATAAAAATAATAGAGTAGCACATAGCAAAAAAACTGATCAAAAATCTTTATTTAAAATGAAGATAAAATCACACTTACTGTACATGTCCCTGTGCACCTATCAGAGTGCACAGACCAAAATGATTTAGCATTAAAATGCCTAAGATGTATTTTCTGACCCATTCAACATTTCAATCCCTATTAAACTTGGCCAGAACTTTTGATCTAGCGATCATGGAGTCAACCAATTTCATTTGAAAGCCCTGAAAAATGTTGTGGAGACCTGCTGCTTGAATGGAATCTCAGATGTATGAAACAGGTTTGTTTTTTTTTGTGCCCTTTCTTCCTGAAAGAAAAGTACATTCACAGTTAAAATTGCATTCAAAGAAACATTTCCATCCTACATATTCAATTCCTAGTCCCTATGGTCAAAATAGAACATTGATTAGACTCCACTAACCATTAGAAAATTTAACGGACGTTCCAAAAACTAACATTTGTGAACCAAATTCTTCTGGTGCATGGCCAGCTTTAGATATGACTATGCCTTATGATATACTTTGGTCAACTTGGGTACTCATACACGCAGGAGTCTGTCATGTTTACAATTTAATTTTTATTGTTATTTCTTAATAACTGTTTTATTGACTCTTTGTACATATGCATGGAAAGTTTGCATATTCATACTTCTATACCAATTTTGTATGTGTAGACTGTCATTGAATAAGAGTTTACATCTACTATAGGTAGTTTTAAATATGTTTTGGTTTGTCTTCTGGTTTTTCAGATGTGTCTTTGCTGAACAGACAAGCAGACATAAGGGAACGTCAAACTTCCACTGATATCCTGGAGGAGCTTATGTCTGAAGGAATAATACAAAGTGAGACCAAGGTTGTTAGAAATGGGGAAGCCTACGATGTCATGGTGAGCGTTTCATGTACTTTTCTACATGCATTTTAGATAACCTTTTTTGGAGCCCTTTTGATAATAACTTAAGCATCTAGTATAGCCCACCTTGTTTAAAGGAATGATTGGCCTACAGTCCATCTCCACTAAGTAAAATGCAGCACAGTTGGTGGTGCAGCATGTATACAAGTGAATTATAGTTCCCAATCCCAACAAAATGGAAGGGGAGGCATTGGTATTTAGATATGGTCATCTCTGTATCCTCTCTAATGCAATATTTAGCAACTAGGCAGTTGACCATTTTAAATTGCATAACACGGCTACATCTAATATGCCTTCAGATGGAGAAACCTGGAAAATCTTTAAGAAGACCTCCTGCAAAGCTGGAGAAACTAAAAACCAAAAAGAAGAAAAATAAAAGTCTAACTATGGAAGCTATTGAAGCTAAAATGAAGGCTGCTGAAGAAAGAAGAAAGGTAATGTTATCCTGCATAAAACGACTGACTAAATCATTATTCTTTACTAGCAACCAAGGAATCCATAAAAACTACAACAGTGATATTAAGCTTGCAGTCCAGAGCCTTGTATCCCTCCTGGACCTTCCCTTGCAGCATTGTGAGAGGGCCCCAAAATCACTGTATTAGATAAGGACTTTGTACTCACAGGATTTTGTAGCCTGTGTAAAATCCTTTTCTTGTACAGATGTTCCTCACTTACCGACTTACCTGTTTTGCGACCACTCGCACTTACGACGGACCGCCGATCGACCTCCGACCTTCCGCGTCAGCGTCAGTGCGACGGGTCGCCGGCGGAAGTGACATCCCCCGATCTTCTCTGCAGGTCTCGGTAAGTATTTCCATTGCCGGATGTACAGTACACTGTTCGGTACTGTACATCGGCAACGCTATACAGTACTGTACTAATGCAGTATAGTACTGTATAGAGTTCCTCACTTAACGACCAATCTGTTTAACGACCTGGTCGTAGGAACGGAACTCGGTCGTTAAGTGAGGAATACCTGTAGTAGTTTTAGCAGGGACACATGCTTTTTCATCAAACAGTAATAGGCCTGCTTTGACCAGCAGATAGGTATTGACCAGCAGTTTTTTAAGAGCTGTCCCTGATTTCACTGATGCAAAATTGTCATGCCACTGCCAATTTCTATCAAATTCTCATTAAGATTTAAGACTCCAGATGATAAAGCAGTGGAAAATTAGCTAGCAGCAGGGAATGTTTAATGAGGTAGAATTGGCTAAGATTTACTTGAAAAAAAGCACAGGCAGGTGTTTTACTACATTAATTGACTGCAGATGACACAGCAGTGTAAAATCAGCCAGGACAGCAGAACATTTTTAAATCGCAAGGCTAGGCCCAAATTTACTAGAGGCAAAGAGCACAGGCTGAGGCTTTACTACAAGAAATAGGATACTGCAGAGGATGCGGTAGTGTAAAACTGGGCAGCAGTTGCAAAGGTTTAATCAGAGGTAATAGGCCTAACCAGTGTATGCCTAATTTCATCTGTGGGGATGGGGGTGGGGTGAATGGGAATTCTATAATGTGAGGTAGTTTAGGTGCACAGGTCCTTTAAAACGATGCAGCGACATGCTGCAAACAAAAGGCAACTTCCAAGAATAGATGGTCAAAAAGTAAATGCTGTTCTTTTACCACCCTATCAATATAAAAAAAAATCAAAATACTCCAAAAGAAATGGAAACCCCAAAATACCACCTCTGTAACAAAAGCACACTTTGTTTTAAAAGCCTTGCTGCTTAAAACAAAAAACTTTTACCCATTAATATAAAACATAAAAAGCAGGAAAAGTAACCACTGGCCTCAAATCAACCACTAAATAAAATTAAAGACAAAAATGCCCCCAATAATAACACAAAAAAGGAGCCAAGGGATTGATTGCCCAAAGAGCTAGCAATCTGAATTAAAGTACAGTTTCCTAACTGACCCTATAAAGTTTGTCAGCTTATCCTAGCCTATCCCTACAGCAGCTTCCAACACACTATGGCTGCCCTGTGCCCCCCACACACACACCTTATAGTGAGGAGACTGACTTAGTCAAAGGCCCCTTTATTGTCCATTCGAAGCCTACTGGCCATAGCTCCAATGCCATGTGGTGCCTTAATTTTTTTTTTTCTAAATTCTCCCAGGCGAATCTGCACATAAATCTCCCACTAGCACAAATTTTAAACCTGTATGGTTTGTGTTGAACCCATGTTAGCAGCAAACCCAAACCTTATCTCTAGTTACGGCATTTTCATGAGGTGAACATATTCTCAGTATCAACTAATGAGATCAGAACTTGTAAAGTGACTGAAATGTGAACTAAATGCACCATGGCTGTAAAGCTATCACTCACAGTGCATTATTATAAAGTCTAATTGAGTCAATGAAATAAGATAATGTTGCTTTGTAATGTGAATTGTTTCACTAATACCAGTTTTAATACTCGAATGTTACAGACAAAGGAAGAGGAACTAAAGAAAAGGCTGCGTGAAAGGCCAATGACTGCGTTGCCTAGTGTGTCTCAATTTAGAAGGGATGGGGCTTTTACTCCTGATGATGGACAAGAAGGTGAAGAAACAACTACTGAAACCTTAGATTCTGCTGCACTGGAAAATGTAATGAGCGAACCAACAGAGAGTCTCAGAATTCCAGCTGAAGAGCTTGATGAAATAGGTGCTGTGGAATCTGACAACACCTATAACAAACCCAGTGATCAGACCGATGACTTTGAAAATGATCTCTTTTGATGCAAACTCACTTAGATAAACAGATGTACTTTGATATCTGCAGCTGAGCCTAGAAACATATACTGCAGTTTTATTTTAGGATTGCACTTCATATGCAATTCCGTAAGATGATTATTTCAGGTGCATGGAGAAAATAATCCTAATCAATATATGAATTGTTTAACATACGGGTAGGTATGAACTAATTTAAATGTACCATGTGCAATAATGGAATTGTTTACTTACAGAGAAGCGAAAACCTGCTCCTCATTGGTGATGAGCTGGGGCTTGTCGGGGACCCAGTTCAGTGAAATTTGCCAAGCCCGCTCAAAACTGTGTCTAATGCACCCCCCCTCTTAGCCCAAGCAGTGGCCTTCCCCACCCCTTGTGACCTGTAGCTGCAGGTTGGGGAATGCATCTGCCCCAAATGATTGGGCTAGGAGGAGGAGTGTCGGTCACAGTTTTAAATGGGCTTGGGAGAACTCAGGCAAACTAAGTTTCCACCAAGCCCAAGCTCATCATTACGCCTGACCTCCTTGAAATGCACCTGTCAGGAAAACATATCTAGGCTCCTGTGGCTTGCTGAATTCTAAAAATGCTAGTTACTTGGCTGGATTTGGCTTCAGTAGTTTTGAGCCACTAACCCAGAACAAGCATGCAGAAAATGTATTAGAAAAGTGTCAGAATTCCATACCCTTGCTCTTGTTCTAGAGAAGTGACTTAGAAAACAAAAGCAGAATTTTTGCATTTTCAAATGAAGATATTGGCAGCCTACATATTTGGCAATATATATATATGACAATTATACTTTATTATAGGCCAGCATTATTGATGGGATTTGTTCACACATGATACATTGCATTGAGTGCCTTTAACCCCTTCGTGACTGACGACGTACAGTGTACGTCGCCAGCATCGGGGCTGTTTAAACAAAAATGAAATAAATATACGTAGGCACATGCGCCGGGTGTGCCTACGTATGAAAACAACGAACGCGCTACACATGTTGGGTATCGCCGCGCACGCCGGAGTGAGAGCAATAATTCTAGGGCCAGTATTGTGGGGTATCTGTGGGGGCAGTTTTTCGCCGTTTCACGGACGCACGCAATTTGTAAACTGGGCATGTTGGGTATCGTTTTACTCGTTGTAACCTCATCTTTTATATTTCATTTTAAAAATTGGTATTTTGTTGTGTTTTGATGCATTTAATTAAATTTGTCACTAAATTTTGGGGTTTAATAAGGAGTTGCGCTAATATTGCGCAACATAAAAATTTGCAACTACCACCATTTTATTCTATAGGGTCTTGGCATTCGGAAAATATATAATGTTTGGGGGTTTTAAGTAATTTTCAGGCCTAAAATGTGGAATATAACATGGGTGCAAAAAATGGGGGAAAAAAGGCCTCAGTCATGAAGGGGTTAAAACATTTGTTCATGTTGCATTTTTAGTTTGCAGACATACACATTCCCATTCAAGTCAGCCAATAAGGAGTCCATCATAATGCTTTTAAAATGGTCCAAAGCACTTCTTAAATATGTGTACCTGGTGTGAATGTAACCATAACCTTTCATTAGAAAAGTCTCTCTCTCTCTGTTTCTGGTATTAGTATCAGCCTAAAGGGATTCCATCAGTACAGAAATACAGAGAGCTGCCATTGCTGACTTGATTTGTAATCGCTCAGGCTCATACTTATGCTTGTTTTATCTCCTAGTAGTCCCTAGTGCAGGACATGTAAGCAGGTCATCTATTCCATCTTCACTGGCTGCATGCTTGATTTGTGTTTTACCCACCCTCTTTCCCTGTCACAAGAACAGGAAATGAGGAGAAACTTTCCTGGAGGGACAGAGATATGAATTATACAACTTTTATTTTTTTTGTGTGGAGTGGTGGTTGTTCCAGTTTTTTTATTTTTCCTGGGACCCAAATAACAAATAATCACCTGAAAGAGGTTATAATCCTTCCATAGTTTATTAATAAGGGCCTGTTCACACGTTCCTGTTAAAGCAGCCCATTCATTTTGAATGGGCTGTCAATGCACAGGAATGGACCAAAAAACAGATGTGGGGGTCACAACATAATGATGATGATCTGTTAGTTATGCTAAGGGTTTATAAATCAGTGTCTTCTTTGGTGATTTTCCTCACTTTGTAACTAAAAAAAAAAAAGTTGGCTGGAGTTAGGGTTTAAGCTGTCTGTAAGTGTTTGTGTGCATCATGTAATCAAGAAGGATTTACTGAAAATGCCTTTCTATATATACATTACCGTACCCAAGACCGGTCCCTGTGAGATGTTATTGCTGCAGAAAATGTAACTTTGTTTATTCCTTAAACAGTTTTAATGACATTATTTTTATATTTAAATAATCATTTTGTTTGGTCTTTTCTTTACTGGGTTTATGGCCTCTTTCACACGGCATTTAGATCAGGTCTGTCTGCTTTTCATGAGGACCTGATCGGAAGCCTGATATTAGTCTGTGGACAGCTGGATCTAAATGGACGTGTGTCCGTTTACATCCAGTTACCCCTGGCTCCGGCCAGGTGTGGAGAAACAAATAGATCGTAGTTCCACTCCAATGACCTGACAGTGCCAGAATGGAGGTAATCTGATGGATGGTAATCTGATTTGTCCATTTACATCCGATTCCCCATATACCAACTTGGGTCTGGTCATTTCATTTTTTTTCCTCCACCGCAAGATGGAGGAAAAAAACTGGACACAAATGTGATATCTGTCCCAATCAGCAGGGTATCCGCGCATAGATCCCCTGCGGATTGGAACTGAAGGCGCCCATCTGAAAGGGGCATTAAGGTAAAATTGTCTCAGGTACATGACCCAATACTGACAAGTCAACTTTTTGGGTTATTATAGATATTTCTAATTAATTAGCCTCTGCCCTGGAGTCATGTCTGGGGCTGTCTGAGTCTTACAATGGCTCATGGCATTGCACCCTCATTAGTAGGTGTACAATCAAATGTAAGATGTTAGAATTATCCTATAATATTATCATATTTATTATACTTGTATATTAAAAATTATTCTAAATGTAATGTTGGGGAGCTCACAGAGCACTCGCACAGGGTTTTTCCATAAACCAAAAGTCTTTATTTTTTCCCTTCAGGCAACTCACAGGTGAAAACACAAATGCTGGCTTAATGTCGGCATATAACACAAAGTAAAGTTCACTTATCTTCAGCAAATAGGATATATTGTCTCACCAACTCAAGGTTGTCCCATTCACTCACAGTGTCCCAATCCCAGCACTTTGTGTTTGCCTCAACAAAACGCCTCAGAGGTACTTCATACCCTTTAGCCGCTTCCAGCAGCTTACCACAAACCTTGTGTGCCTGGCTCTCTCAGCCTATCCAATCCTCCAGCCTCCCTGGCTGTTCTGTGTGTGACTCCACCACACCACCTGGCTTGGCCCTCGTGTGCCTCCAGCATACACCACACCGCCTCTCTGGGCTCTGGTCTGGCTTCTTAATGAGGCTACTCTCAGCCACCTGATCAGCCCAGACTGGTCGTTGGCAACGCCGGTCTCTAGGACTGGAGATTTCATCCCACCCAGAGCTCTAAGAGATCTCCAGAGCTCCAGATCCCAGCTACAATTAGGAAAACCCAGAAGAATCTGAAAAGCCAGCTTCTTCCTTATAAAATGGTTTACATTCTGGATCCTGGGTGCCAAAGTTGCCATACTACACCGTGGCATTGCCATGTACTGCCACAATGTTTATAAAAAGCATTACACCAGCTTAGTTGTTGTCAGAGAAAATGCTAGGGCTAGATGGCATTTGTAGTCTCGCAGCAACTGCACAATCAAAAGACCTGAGTCGATGGGCTTTGGCCTTGACAGCAGTTGACATCCTTCTGACCTGCATTTAACCTGCTTTGAGCAGGTTTTTTATTCACATAGACTTGTGTGGGAATGCAAACGACGCTGGAAACAAAAAGAGCCCATCAACACAGGGAAACAAAAGCTGCCAAAGGCTTTTTGTACATACAGTTTGCCTTTCAGGTCCCACATGGGAACTCCATGGTGTCTAAAAAAATGTTTACTCTCTAAACTAGATAGACCATTAAAGGGACACTGACGCGTTGCCCACTTATACGCACCTAGCCAGTGCTCCCCTCATCACTCCTGCTACCACGGCTGGCACAAATACCAAGGGATTCAATGTGTGTGGAAGCATGTGTCCTCCTCCCATGTGACAGTACTCAGGATTATCAGTCAATTGCTAGGCCCAAGCACTGTGATATGGTGGATCAAGTGATGACACCGCTTTCCTAAGCCTCTGACGCAGCGAATTTTGGTGCCCGGGGCAGGAGGGTGGGGTGAGTATTAGGTGGGTTAGGTGACCCCTTGAGTGGACAAGGTGACAGTGTCTCTTTAAAGACAGCAAGTTCCTAGGTTTTTAAAGCTGGTTCCTAGTTCTGGGTGAGGCTTCTCCAGGCCAATCTAAAATGTAAAGATAAATACAAAAGGTAGGGATAACTTTGCCCCAATAGCTGAATAACAGAGTCCTTATTGAACACTGAATCTCTGACGCTTAACAGCTGAATGGCACAGGACACAGCATAGTGTCAACTTGGATAGAATTCAAGACCAAGAGGCTCTTTAGTGACACAGAAATTGATTGTAAGACTAACACAGGTACGAACAGGCGCAGTATTGGTTTACTAGATACACAGTCTCCTCAAGGTGACAAGATCATTACTAGGAAACCGTAAAATACATAAACACACAGAAGGACAGGTGGCCAATATGTAAGGCTAGTTTAGTCAGTTCATAACTGGCAGTGTGTGAATGCCTTAATGGAAAATAAATACTTGATTTTTACAATTGTAATCCAGTTTTTAAAAAACAGTAACTACTTATTAAAAAATCCAATGTATAAGCACAGCCCCTTATTCTAAGTCACAATAGGTTATTTAAATATTGAATAAGGATCTTGGTTGAAAAAAAGACGCATACCCATCTCATACAGTCTCTTAACCAATGCCCACTTGCCTACCAGGTATTTATCCAACTCATAAGTTTTCAGTGTTCCCCTGGCTGACAATGATTTTACACATAGCGTATGACACAAACCGAATGATGGGCACCAGACCTCTGAGTGATGTCCTCTGTGACCGGATTTTAAGAGGTAGGTGGTGTCCCTGCAGAGACCCTCACACCAG